ACAATTTATATCTTAATAAATATAATTAATTGCATATAATTTTTATCAACAAAATATCCACGCGTAGCGTGGACGCAAAATCTAGTAAATAAAATAAAAACCCTAACCTCTTCGTCCATGTATTCGAAACTGACTGGTTTTCTCTAACTTTAAAAATCCTTTTCTCTCAACGCAATTCGGAAGAACCTTGCTCTCTGCTTGTATACTTGATTCATCAGAAACTTTGAAGGAAGTAAATGTATTATTTGCTGACTCTCTTGGCTCGAAAGGGTATGGGACGGTGTGGACCGCCGCTCACTTGCCAGGTCGCCTCAAGAAGTCTCATTACACCGCCTCTAACATCCCCAAAACAGTTGATCTTATATTAATGTTTCCTGAGATACCAATGACATTGAGATTGTCAGGTCAACTTCTACTTGGGGTCAAGCGAATATATTCAAAGCAAGTCGATTATCTTTTCTGTGACTGTAATCTCTTTATCACTTGTTCAGCCAAGTATTTCCTTTCTACTCAAGTCGACTTGCCAAAGGATGCTAGGCAGTCCCCGGTTGAGTCTGTGACTTTGCCTCATACACTAAACTTAGACGATTTCGACTTAGAAGAATACACACTCGAGGAAGGATTTGATAATCATCTTTGGAGTAAGGAAGATCTCATTCTGACAGATCAAAATGCTACTGGCATTGATCCTTATGTTGCTGTTAGAGGTGAAAGCCGACCTCGAGTTCTTCCGAACTAGGGGCTGCAAGGATGGGAGATCAGCTGACCTCTCGGATGATTGAGGTGAGTTCAAAGGTTCGGAGGACTCTTGGCGATCTCCAGGAAGAATCCGGTGAAAGGAGGAAGATGAAACATCTTCGGAAGAGGAATTGGCAAACATTTCGATCAAAGGAAGAGAAATTTGAAGAAAAGATTGAAGAACAGTTTGAATGAAGATCAAAAAATTCAAGAAGATTGGATGAACAGATTGGAAAATTCAAACGAGATGGCCGAATGGATGAAGGATGATCGGAAAAATAAAGGAAATCGAAAGAAAAACCAAGGAAACTAAGAGCATCTCCATTGGAGTCTTTTAAAGGGGTTCATAGAATTTAAAATACAGAAAAAAAAACAAGCAAAGGTTCTTGAGGCTGTTATTTAAGAACCTCATATAAGAGAGGTTCAACACCTGTCTAATTTTTATTGGTCTAAAAATTAAATCAGATAATTAAATTATATTAAAATAATAATATTTTAATTTTAAGAACCTCCTTTTGGGGTTCAGACTGAGGAGATGGTCTAAAAATTAGAGAGAGAAACAAAATTAGAGAAAAGGGAGAGGGGCGTACCTTTTTTATATGCGGAGGAAGAAATGAGGAATGTGAAGTGGACCTCAAGTTATAAAGGGGGAATAGTAATCATGCCTCGATTTGCGTAATGGTTCGGATTTCATGCGCCTCACTAAATTAGAGTTTAGAGGAAAGCTCTGTGGAAGCCGAACTCGATTTGTAACCAGAACCAAAGACCGAACCATAATAAGTTTGTCAAAGAACAATCTCTTTCTCCGAACTGAGAGGGGGCTAACTGTTAGAGGTGAAAACCGCACTTCCAGTTTTCTCCAGTACAAACCGAGATCGGCGTAGTTGAGCCTGGTTAACGATGATAATACACCATGAGAATCAGACCAGGTGAACTCCTGGGCCGACCAAAGCCCGTAAACATTAAGTCGGTGGAAACCTCCTAAAGGAATAAGAAAAGTTTTCACCTTCGACCCGGAGAAAAGGAAACTCTTTAAGATCCCATATCAGGGAAGAACTCCTCTGAAACCGACTTAGAAAATATATAAAAGGGAATAGGAATCGACACCAAAGACACACAAGAATCCAAGAGACCTAGATATTAAGAGCTAAGGATATTTTAAGCACTTTGTTCTTTAAGTTGTAGTTCGTTCACGACCAGCTTGGAAACGAACTCAGTTGTATTTTTCTTCGATTTGATATTAATAAAACCGAACTTCGATCTAAATTAATGGTATACCCCTTTGTGTGATATTACATATCAACAGTTGCTATAACATTTGATGAGGTGAGGCCCATGCTTGTGTCTTGATTCTGATTAACCGGTTTTTATTTCTCCTAGAGAACTTGTAATTGAACGAAAGTATGTATGTCTTTCTTAGAGGACATCTTTCCACAATGTACTCTGATGGGTGTCGAGTGAGTCTCTTCATGACCTAATTCTTTCTGTTCAAGAATATGATTTTCTTAATGTTATCTATTTTTTATTATTATTTAAGTGGCCAGTCTACAGTACCTGTTAGTGGCCATCCAGGAGATACTGATGTTGAAATGGCTTTTGAGGCAGAACCAAACAATGAGCCTAGAGACTTCAATGTTAATCTAGATACTAGAACCTATGTTCCTCGTAACTTGACAGAAATGCTCGATTCCAGCCCCGAGAGAAGCTATGCCAATTCTTCTCCAAGTGTTCCCGAGATTGAGATAAGGCGTGAGGCTGCACATGATTTAAGCCCTCCCACCATTAGCTGAAGAACAACAGAATGGCAGAGTTGAACGCACTGAATCGTTAGATGAAACTTTGAATGACAAGGAACACACTATGCCTAATATCGATGAAGAAATGTTAAATTCTAGAGGACATTCGACGTTTGAGCTTCGCTCAAGATCTCCAGGTTTTGCTGGTTCTGAGGAAGAACGTGAAAATTTTGGTGAGTAAAACAAAAGAGTCTGATTATTTATGCTTAACCATTATGTATGTCCTATCTTGTTAGTTTATTTAGGGTGCAAAAGGCTGATACTTTAGATAAACAAAAATTACTGAAATTAATTTATTCATTTGGATTCTTCTAGAAATTTACCATTTAGGTTGGATTTGAGTTCCTCTAAATTTTAATGTAACCCACATAATAATTGGGGAAAAACAATTACGCTAGAAATTGTTACTTCAACAAAGACGAGGATTAATTTGAAGTAAATAGGTCAACTCCACTTATTTTTATTCTGCTCATATTATTCCTCTGATTATTTCTATTTACAACCATTTTCCACTCTTAATATATTTGTTTTGTTTTGATGTTAAGTGCATCCATCACCTCAAATGGCTCTTCAGCCAATTCCTCCCCCACCACCACAAGCAAGGCCAATGGAAGAGGAGGCACTATAAAAAGGTCATAGTGATAAATAACAGGTATAATAAAGTTTCCACTACCTCATGTGACTTTTGTTATTTTATCACCTGTTGCATACTGATCTATGAATTTGCACAGGAACATGAGACATACGCTTGAGGATCCTAGTGAAACTCTTCGTAAGAGAAAGGAGCTGGCTTCAACTGAAGTACATAACTGGAGAACCAATAACCAGCCAAAGAAGGATCAAATTCTCAATGAGCCCATGTTTACTGGTAATGTTCCAGTTATTCTTTCCTTTCGTTTTTGACAGTTTTACCTTCTTTTGCGTTTTCTTTTTTAAAAAAAAACGTTTATTACCTGTATGCAGACTACTCAGATGTTTTAGGCCGCTTATTTGGAAAGCAATGTGTAGCTTCAAAATCATATCATGCTGTTTCGGATGAACCTGCATCTGTATCCCTCCTACTCGAGAAGCTGAAACAGAAGTTAACCCGACTGCTTCATTTCCACCATCTACAAATCCAGAAAGTACAGTTCATTTGTCTCTTCTTCAGCAAACTGTCCAAGAATCTGCGCATGCAGAGTCTGTAGCAAGAGATACAAAATCTCCTCCGTCATTTCACAATGATGACACAGGAATCGAACCTTAAAGGAATGATGGTTACCATGAGTACATGCCGTCACCACCTCCTTGTAGAACTGATGACTTCACCACACAGCCTGGAATTTGGGAAACAGAGTCTTATAGAACAGAACCTTCAACTTCCACATATGCAGCACAGCAGCAGCTACTCTTGAAATGGCAGAAGAGGCTTTTTCTAGCGTTTTTCACATGTTTAGTTTTTCCGGTTCTTGGTGCTTTGCTCATTAGCATTGATAGCAATACCATTTGCATGTGTCATACAGGAACTTTATTCCTGGATGTAGGTGTGAGATCACTAGCTAGTCAAGATTCTGATAATTTGACAGGGAGAGCGAGGTATAAAGATTTCAAGATCCATGCAGCTTTTAAGAGCCTAGTGTTTCTTTTCTACCTTGTAACAAATTCTTTTTTTTTTTTTCTTGTAACACATTCATTGAACATTGCAGAGCCTTGGCTCAGTATCTTAAGGGACATTCTTCAAAAAGTCCCACTTCAAGCTATCATTCTGGAGATTTGAGTTTGGGCAAGATCTTGGCAGGAAAGACAAGGAAGCTACGTCTTCAATCATCAAGCCAGATATACTCCCATTAACCCATTAGGAACGGTGTTCAGTGGCCTTCAAATGTTCTTCAAGACGCTGGTACTGAAGTATAGAGGACTTATAGATGTGCAACAGGACCAACCAAATAGCGATGTCACTCTCAAGTTGATGCCTGCCATTTTTATAAAAAACTGTGAATGAAAACAGTGTTGACTATATTTTTATTATGTGTACATTTAACATAGATTCTAGACGAGGAAATAGTCATTCTTAATATGTTGAACCCTAGTTTGTTTACATATTTTGACTGTAGAAGTAAAGCTTTTATTGAGAACAAGAAAATAAAATGAATTCGTATTTATGAAATAAGTATAGCACCATGTCAATATTACAATATATTAATACATTATCACTCCACTCTTTTGTTTTTGGTAAAATGTTAAATTTATACACTCTTTTATTCTTTTTTTTTATAAAGTTTTTGACTAAAAACGTAGATATTAAAAATAAAATAAATAAAAACACCGTCTTTTATATTTTTAACCATTTCATTTACATTTTCGACACCAAAAAAATTTATTTTCTGTTAATTACTTAATTGTTGTTTTGAATTTTTAGTTACATAATGGAGAATTGTTTTTTTTTTTTTTGGTTTAGAGAAATTTATTTATTATTAATGAATGGAGCATAAAACTAGGCCACAACTTTGAGTTGTCAACTACACATGTTTAAAGACTCGTAGATGCATACAGAAACTCAAAGTCGAGAAGTAAGGCAATCACCATTAAATTCCTCTTCGTGCTGTTGAATTTTCTTGGAACTGACATCATCGACAACCAAACTTTTAGCCATATCTCTGAGCTTAGGCTTAAGGATCTTCCCGTTGCCGTTCTTTGGCAGTTCTTCCATGAACATGACCTTCCTCGGACACATAAATCGAGGCAGGTTCTCACGGCAATACTCAATCAAATCTCTTTCTTTGGTCACCAATTTATCTTCACGATATCCTTGATTAGTCTCACCCTTTTCTAGAACAACGAAAGCACACGGGGTTTCTCCCCACACAGGATGAGGCATGGCGACCACCGCGGCCTCAAGAATTTTATGGTGCTTGTAAAGAACATTCTCGACTTCAACACTGCTTATGTTTTCGCCTCCCGAGATGATGATGTCTTTTGACCTATCTTTGATCTCTATGTGCCCATCAGAATGAATCACACCCATGTCCCCCGTGTTGAGCCATCCGTGTTTAAACGCTTCAAATGTCGCTTTAGGATTCTTCAGATACCCTTTCATTACGCTGCTTCCCTTGATGACAATCTCTCCCATCGTCTTCCCGTCGCGTGGGACACTCTCTTGAGTTTTTGTGTTCTTCACGTCAACTTCAGCTAGGCTTAAGATACTTACCCCTTGCCTTCCCTTCAGCTTCATCATTTGATGCTCGGGTAGCCTGTTTCAATTGAATAATAGAGTTATTAAATTAATCTTAATAAGAATATGGTTTTATATAAAAAAAAAAAATCAACACTTTTAGATTTTATAATCATTTTTTCCATAACGGGAATATATCTTGGACTGAAATCTAAACAAATCCTCTAAGCATGTAAAAATGGTTTTTTTCGTGTTGTCAAAGAGTTGAACTATGTAAATTCTTGCATTTAAAATTCCTATGCCTAAATAGATCCCAATTATACATCTCTTCCACCCAAAGAAACCACTGGACCACACATTTTTTGGTCAGTTATATCCTTTTTTGAAAACAAAACTTTTCCTTTGTGGTAAATGTTACGTATGAAAGTCGAAGGTCACTAGTTCAACTCCACTTGGGAGTGGTTATTTACACCTTAACCGTTGTATTATCAACAGCTGGCCCCGGAGGACATTATGGACCAAATGTCCCGAACTTCCATTGTTTAAAAAAAAAATGTGAAACTTGATAGCGTAAATATAGAGGTATAAAGCGATAACAACAACTGTTACCTGTTCCATTCTTCTTGCCACTCACAAAAGAGAGCTGGACCGGTGGCCTCCGTAAGCCCATAGGCATGCATTACTTGAAACCCCAGACGCTGAACTTTAGTAACAAGTGCACCGGGAGGCGATGAACCTCCGGTAAGCACCTGAACCGGTCCTGACCTCTTTGATAGATCAAGCGGTTTTCCTTGCAGGAGAATATTGAAGACCGTAGGAACACAACACATATGCGTCACGCGATGCAATGCTATGTTCTTAAAGATCTTTGGGGCAGTCACGTGCCTGATACACACGTTGGTGCCCCCACGCGCTGCCACTGCCCACGTCAGAGTCCATCCATTGCAATGAAACATAGGCAGAGTCCAAAGGTAGACCGGACATGTCCCCATTCCCCAACCCATAATCGCGCTCAAAGAGCTCAAATATGCTCCGCGGTGACTAACCACCACACCTTTAGGGTCGGCCGTGGTACCAGACGTGTAGTTCAACGAGATTGGATCATGCTCGTTTTGAATACGAAACATACGTGCTACCAACGAGGATGTAGTTTTTCCCCTACGAATGAGATCTTCATAGTCTAACTCCTTGGTCGAACCCCTTTTAGTGAAATTGGTCGACTCGTCTTGAATGAATATGATAATCAGGTTTAATGAGTCATCATATGGTAGTAGATGGAGGATTTCTCGAAGCAGAGGCTCAAAGTTACGGTCTATGAATAATATCTTGGGCTGGGCATGGCCAAGGATTGCGGCAATGGATTTAGCATCTAGACGGGTGTTTATAGGATTGAGGACAGCTCCAGCCATGGGAACGGCAAAGTGCATCTCATACATGGCCGGTATGTTTGGGGCCAGAACAGACACCTAAACCCAAAATTATCACATATTACAAAACTTTTAATAACACCCTACAATTAATATTTTTTCTACATTGTTAATTTGTATTGAAGAAAAATGTATGTAGACCAAATACTAACGAAAATGGTTTGACAGAGGCGAGCTCGAAAACAAAAATAAAGACAAAAACAATTATGTAGAGGCGAAAACAAGAGAGAGTAGTGACATACTACATCGTTCTTCGCAATCTTAAGAGACAGGAGGGAAGCGGCAAGACGACAGCAACGGTCATAGGTCTCAGGCCAAGTGAAATGAGTTTCTTCATAGATTATGGAAGTTCGATTTGGATAACATTCTGAAGCTCTCTTCAAGAACGTTATGGGTGTTAGAGGAACATTGTTTGCTTCACATAACGCCAGATTATCCATCTTCTTCGTCTTCTTCGTGTGTGTATGTTATGTTTGTGTGTTTGTGTGAGGGAAGAGGGATGTGCAAACATATATTATATATAGGAAAATATAAGAGATTCCCCAACATGTGGTTCTATAATAAGATGGAAAGTTGACTTTCACGTGGAAATAAATGTGGCTGATAAGTGATAACAGACTAACAGTAATATAAAATGATCCATCGGCTCGACCAAAAACAAAAAATATGATCTGTCGCTTCATATTAGAGCAATGATCTGATGCTTTCATGGATCCCTTATCTTCATTCTATGTGGCCATGTATCAATAATTTTAGTAATATCCGCCTGTCACGTTTTTCATGTCAAATATTATCTTCTTTTATTTGTAATCACAAATCGTTTTATACAGTTTTGTACCACTTGGAAACTCTTTAAATCAAAAAATTATTTCCATGAGTGTCTGCACTTTGCAATAGTAGACATTTGCTAATCAAAAACTATTATCATAAATATAAACATAATTTTACAAAAAAATTCACAAAAATATACTAAAATAAATATTTTGAAAATGTAAGAGTAGTAATACGGGAACTAACACAGAACACAACACGGGGATTTTCTCTTCAAAGATATTTCACTAGTAAATCTGTTTGTAACTTACAAGTATACAGAACCCGATTTAGAGCAACCTCAAAACACACCTTGATTTGCTACACTAGTCTCACTTTTTCTTGAATCGATACGTGATTCAAGAACCTCTCACCCAAATCCCTTAGCACACTAGCTCACAAAAACTCTCACAGATTTTCGCTCACCCTTTGCTAAATATTCTCTCAGTTGTGTTACCGCCCTACATAGCTCTAACACGCCTATTTATACTCAATAGGACTTGCGGCTGATCCTCGCCTAGATTCTCCTTCTGATTACACCAAATCTTCATGAGAATCTTCACCTTCCTTATCTTCTCCTAAGATAGAGGAAACTTGATATTTTCTTCAAAGATCCTCCAAGATACTCCAAGCTTCCTATCCACGTCAGCTTCTCGTCTCTTGAAGTGTCCAGCACGTCCTGCAGCTCCAGCTCAGCTTCCAGCTCACCTCCACGTGTATAGATTGCTACGCAAGTCTTCCCGTGTCAGTTCCAGAGCTAGTCGGACTGCTACACGTGCTGCTCCAGCCTTGTTTGCATCTTCAATCTCCCCTTTTTAGCATATGTGCTCCACAAGTACCTATTCAGGAAATCGAGACCAAACAAGCAACAACCAACATACTACAAGCCACACAATTCTGGGAATGATTCCAAAAACAAAATCCGATTAACCAAAAGAGACTCCAATAAACCAATGGAGTGTCAAGTCTTATCATAACCGAGTTCAAAGAGATACGAAATAAAACATAAAGCACAATGTCTTAAAACACTCTCTCCTTACTCCCCCAGAATTCGAAAAACCCCCAAAATAAACCCAAACAAAAACTCCCCCATAGTTCATGCATCCACCGATTTCAATCTTCTCCCCCTGCTTGTGAGCACAGATGTTAAAAATACTCGATGAGCAAACATAATTTGAAGGTTTAGATAGGGTCTAAGTGGGTTTACCTGTGACTGCTGCGCGTAGCATGGCCGTTACTACCCCGAGTTGCTCAAGAACTGATGCCACATCTTCAAGAGCTGTCCTGATTCCCTCTGCATCAGCTGGAGCCTCAGGCACTCGAATCACTCATAGACTCACGCTGTTGACTCCTTCAGTTGGTATCTCTGGTTGAGCAGTTGCTGTAGACCGCAGATTCGTCTTAGGCTGATGAGACGTTGATGCTGATGTAGTCTTCTTCCGGGCCTCTTTCTTCTCCTTTCCCTTAGTCCTCACCTCTGTAGCAGCAGCTGCGGCTTCTTTCTTGAGAAATGTCTCTCCGCTTCGTGGATCTTTCTTGTACTTTGTTGGAAAGATCCACATCTCTCCTTCTTCAAGCTGCAGGATCAACTGTCTCTTGATGACCTTGCTGATGAGACAGGGAAACATCAGCAATCTTCGATCTCCTCTGATCACTTTGCTCAGATCGAGCATCTGCTGGAAGATCATCCGTCCTATGTTTACTTTGACTCCGTGTGCCAGTTTGTAGACCAGTCTAGCTCGTTCTTCGGAGATATAATGCTTATTTGTTGACGGCACCCAATTGTACGACGCAATAACCATCAGAGCGGCTATCCTGGGTGGAAAATCCCTCGAAGTAAGCTCAGACCAAACAGACTGATGCCCTTGAGACAGATACTTCGATACCTCGGAGATTGGCACAAGATCTGCCTCTGCTTTTTTCTTCCTCTCTGCCTCAGACAGAGGCTCACGACGAAGAGTCTCGTTGATGATTCTTGGCGAGATCCGGACCTTTGCTCCCCTGATTCTCACCACAAACACCTGTGATGGGTCACTTGGTGTCTCAGATGGTAGTCCGGCGTAGAACTCCAGCACCACCTTACTCATGTAAGGTTCGAGCTCCGTTACTGACCATCGCATCCCACTTTGAAGAAGTACCTCATGATACTTCCACTCATCAGCCTCATCCACATCAACCACTAGTTCACACCAGATGTGACGATCCTTGAACAGCTTGATTCGTTCATCAGACACAGCTTTCTTTTTGCTCCGGAGATTCGCCTTCTTCTTTTTCTGTTTCTTGACATGACTCGACTCAGCCTCTGGACCAGGAGCGGCTGGAGATTGCTCAGTCCTTGGCTCGGAGGACTCTGCAGAGGTGGCTCTTTTCTTTTCTTTTCGAGCTTTCTTTGCCACTGGAACTGGCACAATCGCCAAACTCCGTTTTCTTCCGACCTCATCAATCTGCTCCTGAACCGACATCTCCTCCGGTAGCTCGTCGGTCTAGGACGGCAAATCTCTTCCTTCGTCGTCCTCAAGAATCTCCTTATCGTTGCCCACGGGATCAGCTGCTGTCTGAGTTTCCCATTCCGCCTCTTCGTTCTCTCGCAACTGTTTGGCTTCTTGCATCTCAGTTGCTGCTTCTGGGCTTTCTTCCTTCTCTACTTCAGGCTCATCCATGGCCTCTCGTTCCTCCTCTTGTGCCACCGATTCGACCTGGACTTCGTCGGGAAGCTGATTTTCATCTGGGGATTTGGTCGAGGAATTTCCGCCCTCATCTGCTGTAGCGAATGACTCGCTCTCGCTTTTGGCCCCCGTTCCAGCCTCTATTCCTCCCTTGCTCTGAGTCACCGGCAGATTCTAATCTTCTCCACTCGATTCATCGATTAAGTGAGGAGACGAAGCATCACCTGTTGCATGTGCCATCTTTGACTTTGATTTCTTTCCGATGAGCCCTCTTTGTGTTGCAGACACCATTTTATTCACCGATCTGGACCAAGATGCTTTGAATTGAATCACACAAGTTCTCTGCACCTAGGGTTTTTGAACAGTTCGATGTAGCGTCTCTTTCTCTTCCTCTCCGCAAATATAGCAACATCGCTTCGATTTCCCTCTCCTTATTTGATTTTCCTTTTTTTTCATGGGCTGCTGTTGGGCCTGTTTACATGAGCATCATTTGTCCACGGCCCACTTCCTGCTTAACCATGACAAGTCTTTTTCTAGCACAAGAACATCCATTAGTACATCACAAGGAACACGACAGTCATTGACACATTTAAACCGAAGAATTTTGTGATGGCTAACATGAATAGTAACCGTTCACCTCATCACACCTCAACTAGCTTTTGAAAACAGTTTTTGCTTATTTACCCAGATTCACAGATGACACACAAGCTGATTCAGCACATGACTCGAATGATCACTCCGATTCTTCTTGATTCTTTGTACCTTGCCAGGTTTGATACTGAGACTAGCTTTCACACTATCTTGTCTTTATCACGCTCTTCATCAGTTTTCAACCTTTATTCAGCAAGAGAGAACCTTAGGTACTTGTCACAGTGTATTTTTTATTGGATACACTGTGACTTGGCAGCTTCCTTTATTTTTCTGCCTTGGGTTTTTCTTTGATCTTTGGACAGGTCTTCTTTTTGATGTAAGACCTATCTCTGAAGTATAGATTATCCTGTAGCTCAGTCTTATCATTGCGATTTCTCAAAGACCGACTTACATTGCTTTCAGGCTGTTTGGTTCTCTCTGTGAAACCTGCACTGATGTCAAGACATGACGACAAGATAGGTAGCTCTTTTTCTCCGACCTTTAACCCTCAAGGCTGAATCGAAACGTTATGATCATCCTGAGCCTGTACCTGTATCAGTTCTGCACATCTCAAAACACTTGTTAAATTCCACAAACACCAATTGCATTTCTTAAGGTGACATAACGATTAAAGTCCAGTGGTTTTGTGAATAAATCAGCCAGTTGAGATTCAGTGACAACATGCTCGATCACTACCTGTTTTCCTTCCACTAGCTCACGGATAAAGTGGTGTCTTATGTCGATGTGCTTGGTCCTTGAGTGTTGTACTGGGTTCTTGGAAATGCTTATAGCACTCTTGTTGTCACAGTACACAAGAAGTGGACCTGAATCCATTCCATAGTCAGCGGACATCTACTTCATCCACAGTAGTTGGCTACAACAGCTCCCCATGGCAATGTATTCTGCTTCAGCAGTAGAGAGGGACACTGAGTTTTGCTTTTTGCTGAGCCACGAGATGAGGTTGTTTCCGAGAAAGAAACACCCACCACTGGTGCTTTTCCTGTCATCAGCACTTCCTGTCCAATCTGCATCACATTATCCCACTAGGTTCTGATTCGATCCTTTTGAGTACCAGATGCCTAACTCAACTGTGCCCTTGACGTACTTGATGATCCTCTTTACCGCCTCAAGATGCGATTGCTTAGGTTTAGCTTGGTACCTAGCACAGATGCCAACACTCAGGCACAGATCTGGTCTGCTTGCCGTGAGATAGAGGAGACTCCCAATCATTCCTCTATACAAGGTTGGATCGACACTTGCTCCCTCATCATCTCGCGTGAGGCTGGTGGTTGTGCTCATTGGAGTCTTTGCTTCTTTGGCTGAATCAAGCTTGAAT